GTAGCCAATATAGGCAATGCAAGCAGCTATGTGCTCAGTCCCTACTCATCACCTGAGCTAATTCTACATGTAGAAAGAACGTGCTTGATCTCATTATTTAATTAGTTTAGAATTTTGCTTAACATATGAAATTCTTTTCTTTTAATATCTTGAACTTTTAGTTTTCTTTCAACTTTGTAATTATTTATGCAAATTACTAAAAACCTTATTTTTTGTAGTAATTATGGAGAGAATGCCACATTGATCTGGTCAATTTTATTAATCATGTAGAGAATGTCTTTGCACTATCTAGATGGTTAGCAGCTAAGCTGCCAGTTGAGATTTTTGAATTCGCAGGGCATTTGCAAAATGACCATACCCTATTTTTCTGTGCCATGGGAAGCTGGTTGTATGAACCTATTCATGGTAGGCTCTAGCCCTTTTGGGAGCTCTAATTCCTTCACTAAAGCTTCAGCAACAATTACTTTAGTTAACTGATAATAACTTAATCCATACCCTCCTTTTTTAATTTTGATATTTTGTTTGATTTTCTCTGTCCTTTTTTTTACCTGCTTTCAGGTCTCGTGAGAGTGGGACAAATAGCACATCTAGTCGAGGTGGTGGTAGAGCTGGCACAGATCATCATGGTGGACGGGAAACCAATTCAGTAGTAGTGGTATAAAAAGTTAGTCTAATATATTATATCGTTCATACGGAAAAGAAAAGTCAGCTATCATGAAGCTGCTAAATAACCACAAGTGCTTATTTGAAGCTGAAGATGTATGCTTTCTTGATTTATGAAATGGTGAAGTAGATTTGTAATTCTAATTTATGTCAATATCTTACAAGTAACATTTAACATCATGCATTGATCAGGAAGTTTGAGATGGCAACAATGCTTCAGAAGAACAAGCTCTAATTGGAATTAATAGGTACCAGTTACTATAAGAATGAAAAAAAACTGAATTGTATTGATATTGTGATATTTTGGAAATTCCAGATTACAATTCATGAGACAGTATAACAGGAAAACCGAAAGATAAAGCTGACACTTAGAGAGGCCAGTCACTCTCCCAAAACATCAAGTAATAGAATTGGAGTTCCTAAAGAAACATCAATTTAGGATATATAATCCTAAATTGGTTCCTAATTGATTCTTCAATATACCTCATTGAGGACTGAAGATCTCTTCACCTTCGCCTTCCCTGTTAGATCTTTGTCACCTTCTCTTATTATTTCTCTGTTCTCAATTATCTTTCAATACACAAGATATAAATCTCCATAGCTGACAAGTTTTTTGGGGCTCTTAGGGAACGACTCTGCTATAGCAACAAAAACATAGTCATGGCTACCTTGACAATAATTGGTAATGTTGCATCTGCAATGGGACAAGTTGTCAAGAAGTTGAGCAAGGTGAGATGATTTTGTTCTACTTTTGTATTTTCTTTTCAGTTGGTAGTGTTGTGTTGCCTTTTCAAAGTCGGACTTTCTAGAAATAGTTTGTTGCAGGGTATTCTATCTAATATATTAATAGTTTTTTGACTAACACATCCCTTTAACAAGATATAGAATAAACCGCCTTCTAATCCTGTAAAGATAAACGTGATATCACTTTAGTTTTTTTTTTTTTTTTAAATTAATACCAATTTAATTGATTACTTTTGCAGACCTTGTAAACCAACTTCATTTCAAGCCTAAAGTTCAAGCTTTAGGTTTCATAATCTAAGGTTTAGGCCTTAGATTAGCATTCATATCTTCGAAGCTTCCATTCATTATTGCCTAAGGTTCAAGCCTTAGGGGCTAAGTTAAGGTTTTGGGTCCTAAGTCAGCATTCATTTTGCCTGCATGTCATGGTTCATTCATCATTTGTTCAAACTATGTTCATATATTGTTGTTCATTGATTCATGCAATTTCATGGATTTCATAAATTTGGGTCATTTCATTTCAAGATAATTTAAGATAAGTTCCAAAAAGTAGTTCAAAATAGTTCATAATAACTTCACAGATATCAGCTGTAAAATTTTCTCTGTTTAATTGCATTCCAGGTTTGCAAGATGGTCAATCCTATTAGGGTTTCTAAGCTATACGCACCCTAGTTTTCTCTGTCACGCGATATGGTCCTTCCCATTTAGTAGCGAGCTTTCCTTCTCGCACATTTTTGTATCCTATGTCAACTCTTCTTAGGACCAAATCGCCAAGTTCAAATTTGTGATAGATAACCTTTTGGTTGTATCTCGCGGAGATCTTTTGTTTCAAGGTTACTTCTTTGATGTGTTTCATTTCTTTGATCTCGTTAATTATGTCTAAATTATGGAGAAGCACTTGACTATTGCTTTCCTTGTTTAAATGAAATCTTCTCCATATGGGTGCTCCGCTCCTATTTCTATTGGGATCATGGCTTCATTTCCATATACCATTTTAAATGGTGTTTCGCCAGTTGTGTAGTGGGGAGTGGTTCTATAGCCCCAGAGAACATAGTCAACATGCTCTGGCCATTCTCCTTTGGCTTCTTCTGGCCTTCGTTCAAGTCTTCTTTTTAAGATTTTGTTTGCAGGTTGAACTTGGGTATTGGTTTGTGGGTGTTTGACTAAAGTGTGTATATGTGTTTCACTTGGAGTTCCCTCAGTACTTCATTGAATTTCCAATCCACAAACTGGGTGCCATTGTCTGTGATAATGGTTTTTTTGTGAGGGACCAGGATCTTTTTGGGACTTCTTTGACCCATTCTTGTTGTTTTCATTTTCATCAGATTTTTCTATATTCGATTGCTTTGCATGATCAACTTGTTATTTTTTCAATTCCAGCAACTCTTTTTGTTACTGATCAAGTCTCAAGCATTGTTTCCTGAGAATTTCAAGAACTTGTTGATTGGTGGAAACCACTTGTTGAATTGACAGTGAGTTTTTTTGTAGAAGAGAAGTTAGAGATACAAAACAGGCTGATTTGGGTTAGCATGCCTGGCCTTTCTGCCTTTTGTTTTTGGATACGTTCTGCGACTTTGTTTTTGTCATCTTGTGGCGGGTATCAACCATCTTTTTTATTTGTATGGAGTGGGAATCATTTACCGTTCCACACAGTCGACGCCAATGATCAGTCCAACAGATATTGGGTTGGACCTAATAACACATGGTTGAAGGTGAAGGATGTTGATAAAGAGAAGAAAGGTTGAGTAGAGTTTTGCCGAGATAACAGGCTACATGGCGAGATGGGAAATCAATGAAATTGACACCTAAGGAGTTTGGAAGAGACGGGGGAGAGGTACCTGCAAGACACTCTGACACTCAAGTCAGTTTAATATTCAATATAGTTCAAGTATTCAATGAGAGATATCATACCTTGGCTGAATGCCTCTATATTTGTAGTACGTGTATGCATTGCTTCATGCCGCCTTTCATAGGGATGTGTTCATATTCATTAGTGGAGAAGGGTGACCTTTTATAGGCTATTCCTTGGTCAATAAGTCTATGGTTTAAGCTAGTTCCCGTAGGTGTGGTGGCAAGCTGGTGCAGCCAACAATTCATTGAGTTTATATGGTAGTCAAGTTGTCTGAGCTGCTAATCTCGCTATGACGTAATCTTAATCGCTAAGTCCCTCTTGGCTTGTTGGCCAAGTAGACGAGATGACCACATTTTGGACGCGGATGTGGTTCCTTCATGGTTAAGTCTAGGGTTCATTGGATCTTTTGTGCCTTTATTGGATTAGGCCTTCAGCACATATAGTTAGGTCCTATCAAGAATTTTATCAGAGAAAACACAATAAGCTCAATTCTAAAATCGTGACAAAAGTTTTCGTCACATGCTTCCGTTAACTCGCTAATAAACACATTCAATCTGAACCTTGTACAACCAAAACAAAATGCGTCCACTATTTAGTCAATTTTGGAAAAACTTCATTTTCACCCACTGTGATTTTGTTATTTATCTTTTGACCCTCTATGATTTTAAACTTATCACTTAGACCCACTATACTAAAATAATTTATCATTTAATCCCTACGGTTTCAAATTTTCGGTTTAAAAAATAAAATTTTAAAAAATAAATATTTTAAATAAATTTTCTCTCTTTTTTATTTTATATCCTCATGTAATGCTTTTAGGATATAAATAATATTTCATGTTATTTATTTTGAAATTAATTTATAAATTATCTTAATTTTTTTATTTATTTTAAAAATATATTTGAAATTAAAAAAATATTATTTAAGATGAACTAAATATGTACTATCGAAATAAGATATTTACTTTCTATAGATAATTTTATAACGATATCAGGTAAAAAATAGAAAAAATAAAATAATATTTGATTTGAATTTATTTTCTTGACAAAAATAAGTATTTTTATTTTTTAAACCCTAAATGCATTAAGTGAGTATATAAAATAAAAAAAAAGGAAAATTTATTTTAATATTTATTTTTTAAAACTTTCATTTTTGTAGTCACGAGAAGTCTAAGTAAATTTTTTTGTAACCACAAAGTGTTTAAGTAAAAATTTAAAACCAAAAAGAATTAAATAATAAATTATATAAGCACAATGGATCTATATGATATGAAGAGATTAAAGATAAATCACAAAATAATGGATAAAAATAAAATTTTCACTTAAATATGACTATGAAAACATTGTTTCGCACTTAATAATATCTTCTTCAAGTATAAATTCCAGGGTACTTTCATCAACCTACAGAGCAGTGCGTAACAGCGACAAGAAGTAGGACGGTAGGAAACTTGGACCAGAGTGTCCTAAGTCGTAACATGAGAGTAGGAGATGCCGTAACTAAAACAATATTTTAAATATTTTCTACAACTTATTAACCTCTCCGACACAAGCCACTTTAGCCGTTTCCACTCTTTACTTTGGTTAGATAAATTAAAATGGAATAAAACAGAATTTTAGAAACCACAAGCATGCAGAGAATCAATATAGCACACAGTACAATAGTCAAAATTGATCAACAAGCTAACACTTATTAGTATTTTATTGCTATTATTCTCAGCTTCGATACAGACATTGTAACATTGTGGATGCCCTGGAATACATCAGTTCAAAATTGATGATAAATAAAAACAATGATCATCAAAGTCATGCATTTATGTCACTTTGTTGAATACTTTCTTACTTGCACCAATCATACCACAAACAATCCGTATATAGCATCCACAACAATTTAGCAAGTATATTAATAAACACGAGCTTTAGGAGGGAATGATTCAATCTCATCATCCAAAGTATTCATGTGCACCGGCCTGTAATCTAACCGGACTTTCTCATTCTCCCAATATCTGCAAATCAATGCACAAAAGCTTAGCTAAAAGATGCATTATTGATGACAAAAGTATTTTATCATCAATAATTATTGTAACAAATCCAGCAAACCAAATTTATTTATGAAATGTTAGCTGACCCAACAGCCCCTGTACCCACCCAAAAATAAAATTATTTTATCATAGCTGTGTGCCTTGATAAATCAAAAACCAAATGGATCACCAACCAAAATATATACCACGCCTATGGTCGAGAACACAATCAAAATATCTCCCTTACCAAAAATGACAGTTATAAGCTTTTCAACTTCTCCGGTAGGTTGCAAAATAATCAAGTAATTGTTCTTGGTCTTACACTCTAAATACCATATTCAATAGAAACATTCATAGCGATTTGCCACCAAAACTCAATGTATGCTAAATTTACTACTATCATGTCACCACTTTAAATTTGATGGAGTTTCAATTTGATAGAATTAGATAAAGGTTTATCTCTTACTGGATCGAAAACTACCCATGAGGATCTTCAAGCAAGGATAACTTGGAAGGACCAAACTACAAATTAGGTTTTTAACCATACATTTATTAACTAAAATATAATACAAACACCAGATAACGTCAATCAATATTATTTCACTATTGTGTCACTAGTTTATTGACTGCTTAGCGGATAGTCAAGAGCTCTGGTGCTTTTAAGAATCAATATGCTTAAATACACAGTGAAAGGATCATGCTTCCCACTACAAATGAAGAACATCAACTCAAATGCCTACTATTGTAAATAGCAAACTAATTGAAACTTGACTCACCCCAAAGTGTGTCTCATCCAGTTCTCATCATCTCTTTTCTGTAGAATTAAAGCAACATATTCAATTACACAATTACCACTATTCATATTAATCCTGCGAAGTTTACACACAAGATAACAAAATAAAGCATACTAACCGTGAAGTCCTCTCGGGCATGAGCACCTCTACTCTCTTTCCTGGCTTCGGCAGAGTGCATGGTGATGCAGGCATTTATCAAGAGATTTTCCAATTCAAAAGTTTCAATCAAGTCAGAGTTCCTGAGAATATTCACTACAAAAATTAAGGTATTTTGTGGGGGTTAGATTTGCAAATTGTGGGGCACAAAATATATTTGTGGCATTCATACAACCTCCAGTTTCGCATGCGCCACAACACATTTTGTGGGGGGTTTTTGTGCAACGCCACAATTTGTTTAAGTATTTTTCGGAGGTTTCAAACCCCCACAAATGTTGTATTTTCTGGAGGTTCCAGACCCCCACAAATGTTATATCATTTTTTAGAGGTTCTGAACCCCCACAAATGTCACTTATAGACCTCCACAACATTTATAACTTCCTAGAGGTCATAGACTGCCACAATTTTTTTTATCATTTTGACAGATTTAAATCTCCACTATTGAGCCAATAAAATTTTAAAAGAACGAGCAGATTGCTTGAAATACTAGGAATCTGCATAACATTGCCAAAAAAGTTTACCATATCAAACTTCGATCCTCTAGCTTGACGTCGTGAAAGCTCTCCCACGCTTTATCAATTAATTGACAACCTGCCACACAGTAGATGAAATTCAGATAAACATGTACCTTCGCAAAAAAAAAAAGGACTGCTAACAAGATCAAGTATTGTTGATTAAAATGGATTTAACTTCTTCCAATGTTTCTTGTGTACGGTGGAATACAGTCAAAATGGATTTACCCCGCCTATGGTCGAGAACACAATCAAAATATCTCCCTTACCAAAAATGACAGTTATAAGCTTTTCAACTTCTCCAGTAGGTTGCAAAATAATCAAGTAATTGTTCTTGGTCTTACACTCTAAATACCATATTCAATAGAAACATTCATAGCGATTTGCCACCAAAACTCAATGTATGCTAAATTTACTATCATGTCACCACTTGGCAATATCCGCAAACCAAAGAGGCACAAAGATAGCATCACTCTTTCATCAGGTAAGGTGTCATTTATTCTAGAACTCAATGTATGCTAAATTTATTCTAGAACTTGATCTGTTTCTTCGGAATGCATGCATTGGTTAGGATGATAAAAGCATTTTGTTCTTACTAGCCTATGGCCAAAATAGCTTACCTGTATGAAATTTTTCCATTGCTAGCCCCTTCAACCTGAACTTATTTTGTTAATAAATAACCTGTGGCCTGATTGATGGCTTGGCTTATATCCATGTGACTTACCCTTTTTGAGATTGAATTGTTGTTGTGTTGAAAATAAACAAAGAAATTCAGGTAAGCTCCACAAAAATTAAGTGATTAGGGGATGCATAGTTCAATTGTACCCTTATAAAAAAAAAAATATATGCATAAAAGGTAACTGAAAGGAATTAATTCCTGAAATTCTGTGGGAATGTTAGTGGAGCAAAAACCAGTGAGTTGAATGTGCTAAAGTGAAAGAGTATCAGTTTTTCAATCTCAGTGTTGTTTGAGCTACTATCCATATATTCCTAACCTTTTAACCCGGCCAAGCTACAACCTGTAAAGTCCTTTTGATCAACTGGTGCATGTGTTCAATTCTTCATTGTTAAGAATTTTTTAGAATATGATCAAGCTTATAGTAGTGTTATAGCTGTCATTGATTGAGTGCTCATGATACCCTTAAACACTGAGTGTTGAGTGAACTTTATTTATCTGTGTGAGGGGTAATCAATGTAGACTTGTATCTTTAGAAGCTGATGATATTGTTGGGAATTTATGATATTAGGTCATTCATGCGTAGCATATTGTGTCTGAGAGTGTCTATGTTTTGTTAGGTTGGACAAATTGATCATTTCCTGGATTGAGTCTTGTACATTGCTGGGGACAACAACGTTTAAATCTGGGAATGCTTTGATGTGCCTCTAGCAGATGTAGTTTTCTAAGCTGAAAATGATGAGAATTAAGTCATAAAAGAGCACTTTTTATACATATTTGCTTATTATATTGACTTTTATATTTCAATGACATTTCTCACTTATTTGTGATGTTTATATAGGGAGAAGAGGTGGAAACTACGAAAGGGTAAAAAGCTTAGAGACGCGACTTCACATGAGTGGAAATTCCATGTTGCATCATATCCTTGGGCCAAAATTCCAGAGAATTGGCGCAACTAGCGCCACACTGGCGCAAGTTAGCGCCGCGATGCAGAGCCAATAACCAGGGATCTGGCGCGGACCAGCGCCACAGTGGCGCGATCCCGCGCCAGTTTGCAATTTTATGGTACCGTGTTTTTACGAGGACAAACTTGGAAGAAGGAAAGATGGCTTATAAATAGGATTCTTTACACAGAATTTGGGGCATTCTGAAGAGAATCGTCGTGCTTCAGAAAGAGAGCTTCCGAGAGATCTTGTTCATCTTTGTTCTTCCATTTTTCAGTTTCCAGTTTATGTTGAATATTTATATTTCAGCCATGACCATGGTTGGCTAGGTACTTTTTATTGTAGTTAGGGTCACAAACCCTATGTGAACCCTTGTTACAACGGATTGGTTTATATTTTCTCGTTTATATATTTATCTTTATCTCTACTCTGTGCGTAATTTCTATCCTCTTTATTAGAACTGATCAATTTGATAGTTGATGATAGTTTGAGGGTTACAACCCTAGATAGAAATATTGGGGTTTTTAACTTTGAAAGGGAGTAGGGTAATCATTTGTATGCGTGCTAGGAGTAGATGTATATACAATTGCAGATGTTTAATTTATCGTGCTTATTGCTTAATTTCATGAGAAACATCACAAGGGATTGCGGTTTCAATTGAAGTTAAAGGTTAACCTTGCGAGGAATTGAAGGTTAACTATTTAATAAATTTAGATGATAAATTATTTGAGTATTTATGTAAATGAGTATTGTAAATCAATCCAGAGTAAAAGGTGGGATCATATGGTGAGTTCACTCTAGGTACAATGCTTTCTCCAATTTTATAAAATCAATTTGTTTATTTTTCATAACAAAAATTCCAAAAATACGTTTTAATTTAGTTCTTATTATTACTCAATTCACAATATCTTGTCACATCTGTTTAATCTCGTCCTGTCCTAAAAAGAACGATTAATTGATATTTGATCATAATCCCTGTGGAGACGATACTTTCTTATCACTGTATTACTTGTCCGATCGGTACACTTGCCGGTGAGTATGAGTCACCCCAGATGACAAGCTCCCTGCCCGATAGAGGCAGTTCTAAAGAAACTCTTCGAGTTTCTTCCAGAGAGAGGGTAAAGATAGTAATGATATTATACGAGGTGAGTAGAAGAGGAACTTCTCAAACCATGGTAAAAATACCCAGTCTATTATGTTGCAATCCTCTTTGTCCCTTCCTAAACATATTCCCTCAAAAATATCCTCAAAAATAGAAAACCTTATAGAGTACTCCTATGTCCCTGAAGATGAAAAGATCCTTGAAACAATACCACTGTTGCTCAGTCCTTATAATATTTTCAAAAGACAAATATATGTGTTTAAGAGTGTCACAAAGTTGATCTTCACCAAGTGACCAACAATGAAAGAATATGTTCAGTCTTCCAGAATGGATCAGTGTGAACTACACGCCACTTCTCAAGAACAGTATGTAGATCTGGAAATTCCTACTGAGTTATCACTTATTGGAGACAAGAAGGCTATATTGCACTTCATTTTGGTGCAATAAGACTAATCCTTTCACTACATGGAAGGAAAGGTTTACCAGTTACAGCTCGAATTGCTCTGCTAGATTCCAATTTCATCCACAATGAAAATGTTGTCATTGGAACTGTACTGACGATTCTTAATGCGAGAAGTATGGTTTTAACCATCTTTCCAAATTATAATGTGAGTCTAAAAGATAGAACTCTGCCAAAAAGATTGAAAGTACAAATCCAGCTCTCAGGAGCTGATCAAGTTACTGAGGCATATGCAGCAACTCTTCATCATCAGATGATTATAGACTTCAAGATCATGTTGTAGATCTTCCCCAGCTGCCTAATAGCCACAGTGATGCTTTGTTTGTCATAGCCAAAAATCCTAAAGATACACCTTCAATCATCCAAATTCCGAGAAAGATATCTCGTGAAGAACTGACATAGTTGATTCCCTTAGAATGGTTGACTAATTATGAAAAGATTCATAAAACCAGCAAACCCATCCAGTCTAATGAAGCAATTTTTAGAAGATCTGTTAATTGAACTGTCAAAACAATCTTCAAGACGCCTGATGCAGTAGCCAGCAGTTCTACCCTACCTATCTTTCAATCCATGATGATATCTCCATGTTATACTGAAGATCAGATCCCTGTTTATGGGATAAGGCCAGATAGATCTCCCATTTTTACTGATCGTGTTGATGGTCATTTCATATGGGATATAGATCCTAATATGTGTGATCCTGAGTGTGACTGTTGGATGCACACAGAAGATACTTCTGATGAGGATGAAGAAGACGAAGAAGATAGCACAAGGAGTCGTGGGCGTTGCAAAACACCTTCTCCTGTTCAAAGAAGATCTGACCCAAACAATGGTCCATTGGTAGGTCCCAAGACACAGAAAAAAACCTGAACCTCTTTGGATCTATAAGAGAGGTTTAGAAATTCTGAGAGAAGAAGGATTACTTCTACCATAACCACCAAATGACCCTGACCTTTTGACCTGATCACCAAAATGCCAGCCAATACCTTGCATGATGTTTTCACAAAGTGATTTTCCTCCTTTGGGAAGACATTCTGACCTAACCACAAAGATCACCACCAAGCCTGTTATGACTCAAGGAGAAGTCTAGCCAGATGAAAAGATGAAGCATTTAAGCCAAGCTGAAGAAGTCCTTAATTGGCAAACTGAGAATGCTCATCCTAGAATTCTATTTTGAAGAGACTTGATGCTAAGGTTGAAAAGATTTACAATCAGATGGATAGTTTTGAAGACCGTATGCAACATTTTTCAAAAAAGATGAGAAAACATTATGAAAAGAACATGCAGCAAATTGCTCAGCTTGAAGAAGAAGTTAGAAAGTTAGGCTTTACTCCAGAAGCCAACATGAGAGATAGAGAGATAAGGAGATTAAAGGCAGAAATTCAAGATCTAGAAAGGATTATTGAACAAAACATCAGATCTCAGCAAAAATCAGAACCAGTAGAAAGCTATAACCCCTTTTTGCCACCTCCCATGCCAAATTATTATTCTCTATTCCAAAAACCACCAGAGTTATGGACTAATCCTCATCCTCCTAAACCTTAGACTTTTCCAAGTAGCCAGCCTTATGACCAAAGAACTAGAAGAGAGATTAGAGAAAGAAGAAAACAACCTTCTAATTCTAGAAGACATTCATCTAGAACTAGAATGGAAACAACCCCTTCCTTATCCTCAGATTTCACAAACCGTAAAGATAATCCTAACTCTTCAAAAAGAACTTTTGAGACAGTAGGCCTTAAAGACCAATTAGTCATTATTCCGACTGAGCCCCAAGATACAGATGAATTTCAATCCTCTAAAACAACATAATCTTCCTCAAACACTCAGAGTTCTAACTCCTTTGAGATTTCCTCCAAAAAAGCTCTTGAATTAAAATCAGATCACCAAACTTCTTCTGAA